CATACATCTGCAATAAGTCTTATTCTGAAGTAACAGATTTTGAAGAAGACCTGACGGACCTTATTGCCACATGCGAACGACACACTCGCTGTTCAGAGTCCTATTGCCTGTGTAAACATAATGGCATGCAGGAGTGTCGGTTCGGATATCCTAAAGATCTTCAGGTACAGACCACCATCAACATCACTGAAGAGGAGCCTGTAATTCTCACTGCACGTAATGATGGGATGCTCAATAGCTTCAGTCCCATTCAACTAACATCCTGGCGTGCTAATGTGGACATGCAGTACATTGTATCAAGAAACAGGGTTGTTCAGTACTGCACCAAGTATGTCACTAAAATTGAGACACGATCACAGTCCTTGAGGGATATGTAGTGAAGAATATTGGCTCATGGTTGATGTTGTTAATAAAATATAAACATAATAGTCATTAGATTATAACTGATGGACACATGCGCAGTAGAACTATAAAATAAATTAATATCTCTCCCTTTCGTGCTTTTTGTCTTTGTTGTTCTTCTCCATTTTGTCACTCTCTTTTGTTATCTTTGGCGATCTTGATAATTGATGATAATAAATTGTTGGTAGAATTAGTTAACTTCTACATTGGTGACCCGATACTGGAACAGTATGTCTAGATCGCCATCGCCAGCCGTTTAGGCACTCTCAGTAAGTATTCCTCCCTTCTGGCCAGCGGATCCTCAATTGTGGTTTGCGCAAGTCGAAGCTCAGTTCACTACTCGGAGTATTAGCTCTCAGAGAACAAAATTCGATCATGTTGTGGCTTTGCTTTCACCCGAGTTCCACACCGATACGCGACTTGATACTCATGCTTCATGACATGGCCCCTTATGATAAACTCAAAGAGCAACTAGTCACACAAACCACAGTTTCTCAACAGAAGCGACTGCAACAACTCATCCATTTAGAGGAGCTCGGAGACAGCACCCCATCTCAATTCTTACGCCGTATGACGCAATTACTAGGTGACCAGGCAACTGTTGATAGCAGCCAGCACTTTCTGAAAGAACTCTTTCTTCAGCGGCTGCCGGCACATGTGCGTATGGTTTTAGCTTCTAAAGAATCAGACAATTTGAAAGATCTAGCAACTTTGGTCAACAGGGTGATGGAAGTAGCCACACCTCTATTATCAGCAATAGACACTTCATCATTGTCCACAGAGGTGGAACAACTTAGTGAAGAAATTGCTACACTTAAAACTCACTTCAAATCTTTCTCTGCCCTTCCTCCTACCTTTTTACATTCTTTTAAACAACGTTCTCCCAGCCCCGCTAGGCCTCGTGGTGAAGAAATTGCTACACTTAAAACTCACTCAAATCTTTCTCTCCCCCTCCTCCTACCTTTTCAAATTCTTTTAAACGACGTTCTCCCAGCCCCGCTAGGCCTCGTGGTGGATTATGTTGGTATCATGCACGCTTTGCTATGAAAGCACTTAAGTGCCAACAACCATGCTCATGGCCGTTGGGAAACGGACAGGCCGGTCGCTAATGGTGACAGTTGTGGCCGGCCTTCCTACCAGTTGCCTCTTTTATATTCTGGACAAGGCATCTCGCCGCCGTTTTTTAGTTGACACAGGAGCAACAATTAGTGTTTTAACACCCTCTGCTGCTGACCGACGAAACCAACAATTTGGGAAAGAATTGCAAGCTGCTAACGGATCAGTGATAGCTACGTTTGGCCTACGACCACTTACCCTCAACCTTGGACTCCGCCGACCCTACTACTGGATTTTCACTGTTGCTGATGTGGCACATCCAATTCTAGGCGCTGATTTTTTTGGTCACGTTAGTCTCACTGTTGATGTTAAGAACCAGGGTGCTAACTGATGCTACA